GGAGATCCTTTACAGTATACCATACTTCTGGACTGTCCTCTTTGGAAAGAGCCTTCGCTATTGTGGTTAGTTGAAATAGAACTACAATATAACCTCTCTTAATGGACACTCTCTATAGCGTACACCTCCATTTAACAGACAGCACCTAGTGTACCAATTACATTCCTTACTGTATAAAATAACCTCCACATAAAGGACACCTCTGTATAACAGAGACACTTTCTTGACCCAAAGTGTCCATTGTATAGAGGCTACTGTTATTAATTATATTTTTATTCTGTTCATTAGGTTTTGCTTTGTCTTGGGATGAGATTATATACAATGGCAGTCCTGAAGAGCTCAAGTTTGCTGCTTATTTTGTAAAGTTAGTTTGAGATTTTAATAATAATAATTATTATTATTTATTTTAAATCAATAAGAGATGATAAAGTGATGGCAGTGTGCAGCCTTGCCATGGACCCTGTGGTATCAACCAGTGCTGAGCTAATGTATCAAGGGAAGATGCCGACAGGCTCACAGCTCAGGTAGACCATCATGTTGTACAAAGTCTTGGAAGATATTAACATTCTCTCTCTCTCTTTCAGAGACAATCCTGATCTTCAAACTCATTTGTAGATATTATTTGATTAGATCTTGACTTTTTAAAGACTGCTGTTAATTTTAAACACTATAGGATTAATTTGTATTATTAATTATATGATACATGGAGCAATAGCATTATTTTGCAACAATAATAAAAAAAAATTGCAGTACCACGTGTTTTTCGTATACTTTCCGGATATGTTAGTGTGTTGTCATTGACCACACCTCTTGGCGGTAACTTATACTACGCATGTGCAGAAGATTATGCCACGAGGTGGAAAGTGTAGCAACACGAGGAGCCTGAGCAGAAGAAGATGATGGACGACTCCATGGGAAGTATGGATACAGCAAAGATGGAGACATTTTGGGGTAAATCCTAAGAGTTTTAGGATTCTTAACAAACCTTTTCTTATTAGGAAAGACCCTGTCATCTAAAAACAAAGTATTCGAATTCGAGGAGGAGGAGGAAGAAGGACTGGAAACTACCATACAACTACGCGGGGTTAGGGAATTATAAATGCAGCTGATTAATGAGTCGTTTTTTTTATTTTTAGGCATGTCTTGGTTATGCTGACAATATGAATCCTAAGGAGCGGAACATCATTGCTGTGACAGTTGAAAATGAAGATGACGAAGAAGAGAGATTTGTCATAGCTTCCTTAAGACTTGACGGAGTGGAGCAAGTTCGTTCAGTAGCTGTTGACTTTTTTATTTATTTATTTAATTTTTAAAGGTTTCGTTAAGCTTATCGATACAACCTCCAGCTAAATTTGAACTTATAAAAGGTTACTCACTTAATTTTTTTATTTTGAAAAATTTATAATGTATTCTCTTAATTTTTTGAATTAGGATCTGGTCCAGTACATCTCACAGGTGCAATGACTACAGGTAAAACTGACATTTAATTGACATCACTTGAGGTGCTCTTTATTTAGAAATGTCTATGTCCGATTATGAAGATGATAGTGACGATGAAGAAGAGCAAGAAGCATCAAAAGGTACTTCATATTTTTTGATTCTGTATTTTAAAATTGCAGCATAATTTTGCCATGAGCTGATCATTAACATTATCCATTGAAATGCTCATCTTCCTAATGCTGCTACATTAAACCATTAGTTCTGTCTCCACTTAGACTAATAGCATGACGACCCAGTCTAGTCTAAACTAAAATTATGAACTACATCATTATTATTATTACCATATATAGCATGAATAATTTTGCAAAATAACTATGTTATGCTGATTATTTTACTGGGGTAATGCATAAATTTTTTTATTTACTAATTAAAATTTTTGCTTTTTTGTGCATTTACAAATCACAAAAATAAGCTCTTAAAATTGTTATGCTATAGACTATTTATTTTAATTTTTATTGTTTTTCTAGAAAGTCTTCCTCCTGTTCTAGTTCCCGCTAAGTCTTCAAAACCATCTGCTCTTGTAAGATTATAAAGTTCAACAGCTCGACCTGAATTGATAATTTTATATATTTTATAGAAACGACCAGCAGACGATGAGCCTTCAAAGAAGGCACCCAAAGTAATGGAGTTTTAATTTGAATACCTGTACTCTACTTCTCTCTGTTTCTTCATTTTCTATCACTCACTTTTAGGCTCCAAAAGCAGAAGATGAAGAGGATCAGAATGATGATTCATTAATGGACAGTAAAGACAGTAAAGGTAATGCAATATGTACATGTACATATCTTAGAGTGTTCTTTATTATTAGTTTATTTCAAATAGTGTGTGTGTGTGTGTGTGTGTGTGTGTGTGTGTGTGTGTTTAGTTGGTTATTTCTATTGTCCTGATCACCAGTGATTATTAAAATATCATACTGCTGTTAACACACTGACATACCATACTGTGTTGATTTTAATACACAATGAGGTGATCCTCTGTACTGTATATACATGTATATAGAAGCAGCTTTTTGTTAAAATTTCTGTAAAATTGTATGTCCATCAATAATTTATGATTATTATTTTTTGGTTTTTTGTAGATAATGCTGTTGATGGTGACAGTGGTGATAGTGTAAGTGTTTTATT